TTTTTCAGGACCAAGGGTGTACAGAAATCTGCATGAGAACAGAGACAACAAAACACATCAAACTCCAATCAACAATTTATTGAGCGAAAGTTGCATACAAAATCACGCATTCCATTACAGATGCACAGGATTTAAAGTGAAAAGTAACATGCATTTAAATTACAAAGTGTCAAAGCACGGATACATTAAGGCTACATGCTTTTACAAGTAAACATTGTACGAAAAGATTTGCACGCAACTACAGTACACGGAAAAGCACAGAAACATACGACACGTTACTGTTTCCCCAAGGGATCTGTCGAGGCAGCGACCAGAATGAAGACTGGAACTTTGTTGCATTTCCTGCAAAACAGCAGAAATCCGTGTTAGATCAAGCTTCTGTATTGACTGACACGTTCAGAAGACGAAACCGTTTAAAAACAATTACCACTGGAATAAAGCGCTTAGCCTGGTGTAACGGGAAATGTTCCTGTGCTCGGATTTGCATTTAAAGTGTGCAAAATACCGACGGCACAATACAATCAACACAGCTACAAGTATATCGATTAGATGGAAACTACCACATTCTAATGCTCTTTTATGATTTCCATTTTGATTAGCAACAATAAAAAGTAAGTCTACAGTCGGGTAACATCGGAACAAAATCTGCTGTGGAGATATGCTAGTACCGCCTCGTTTTCCAACAATAGTTTTCGTTAGGTGCAGTATATAGTGTACTTCAGTATGATACGAATAAAACGAATAAAAAGGTTTATACTTACATAGATAATTCCAGCAGCTGAGCCAAGCTTGTCCTGCCCGAAGGCACCAAACTGGAAAACACAAGAGCACATTTAGAAGTTAATTTAAAGCAAGGTTTCTGAGAAGCAAACAGCCGTTTTCACCACGACAGAAAGCGCAGAATATATTTCAATAAGATACGTGTAAAGGAATTAACGAAATATTTATACTTGCATTTATACTCCATTTAGTGCGAAGCGTGCCCTGCCCGAACATGAAAAAATGAACTGAAAAAAAACAGCGGAATTGAAAAGTTAAAGACCATTTAGACTAAGAAGTATTCTTTGGACCACGAATAAAAGCACACAATCACCTAACATACCCTGGAAAAAACTTGACAATTCTATGTAGGCTATTTTCGGGTTTGGATAATTGCACACGCCCAATTTTGTGAGTAGAAGTTTTTGATAAAGATTAGGATAACGAAACATACGGAAAAGCGACGTTTTCATTCTGCCAATACAACCGTGCATTTACTGCTACAACAGCGCTTTTGGTCGGTTTAAAAGAAATACCCCTGTTATCTGTGTAACACAAGCGGCTTGTTAAAAACGAGAGGAGCGTTTTATAAAGACGCTATTTAGTTCCCAACGAAAATAATGTTTTACCCCCTTTCTTCTGCGACGTTTAGACTACAAAAGTATAGAAGTTCAATTTTATCTACCTTAAAATAAAGGAAAAGGAAGACAAACCTAAAAAACACGGAACAAACTCACCCAGCTCCCTTCTCTCTCGCAGAACCTGGCGGACAGGTGTGCGGGGCGTGGCCTGCGAGAGATGTCATTCGAGTGGGCGTGGTTACAGAGTGACGGGGCAGGCAGCTTTTTTTTCTTAGCTTTTCCAACACGTGTGGGAGTAATCGAACATGTTTTCAGAATCCCCCATGAGTCACACCTTTCAAAATCCTTTTTAGTCCATGACCATTAGGATATTCAATCAGTACATCTAATCCTTATTAGTATTTGAGGGCCGCAGGAATGCGAATGAAATAATTTTGAAATATGAAAGCAAGCTGTGGGGTCTAACGTTCTTAGTAGGACACCTACAGTTCTATTACCTGATTTATCTTAACATTGCACCGAGAAGTCAACATTTTCATCTATAAACGTTTACACTCAATGTACAGCCATTGTACTTTTTATTAATCATGCTGCTGATGTGTTCATTTAAGACGTTACAAGAACATGACAAGATTCAAAGGTGAGGACAGTTTTTGATCCATGTAGCCCCTTTGGTTACTGGTGTGAGGTTGATTTGAACCAGCAATTGCTCACAAGAAGACAGGCTGCTGGTTTCAAGACAATGGATGAGTTATCTATGCCATTCTCCCACAACTCTTTGTGTAGGCAGCATTTCAATACACTTCCCCACAACATGGTTTCATGTCTCCCTTGGTTCACACTGTTTCACTGCAACCTAAATGACTTACCTGGTTAACTGCATGAACAGGAAGTACTTAGGTTATTAGCATCATTTTTAGCACTTGTGCGCTGTACTGAAGTATGCATTATATCCAAATAAATTCAAAATTCTCACCCTCAGTTTCCTAAAAAGGTCAGGAGCAGAGTCAAATGGTATTCCGTGCAAGGCTCACAGATACTGCGAGAGGCTCAGGTGGAGACTCTGGAAGCTGTTGAGACCAACAGAGAGGAGGAACTAACTCAACGAAAGCTGGCTGATTGCAAAAAGGTGTGTGACACCAACAGGTGTGGGCACCAACAGTCTTATGTGATGCTCCAGACACACCCCTCAGAGCCTGCTGGGGAACTTCTTCCCACACTTTTTCATTCTTTACACACACTCTCCTCTGAGAGTGAACAGTGGAAAGGACGCCCTGTGGAGAGTGAGGAACACAGGGGTGTTCAAAGGTGTCAAGGGAGCAGGTAGCCTGGCCCCGTCCATTATTAGGGAGAGCTAAATCCCCAGGGGTCTGTGGAGAGAAGGGAAGGAGGAAGCAGAAAATCTGTGGAGAACAGAACGCAGAGGACAGTATCTCAAGAGCCTATGATATTGATTATCTTGTAAAGGAAAAAAAATGGGATTTGTCCTGTTTTGGAAGTGAAAAATGCTTGGAAAACGCACCTGAACAGGAGGAACTATTGTAATGTAACTGTTGCTTAACTGAATTCAAGGGATTTCACAAAGCTTGCATTAGTGTCACAAAAGCAGACATTTCTTGGAAGGAGCTCTAGACCAGAGCTGTACCTCAGCATTTCAGGACCTAAAAGTCTCAAACTCATGGATTGAAGGGTTCTATCCCACTGTAGTCGTTTCATTGACTACGTCCTTGCAGATAAGTGTTTTTCAGAGTAGCAGGGTTCCATGTTATCTGTCATGGAAATGCAGCAGTACCTGGTGAGACACACCAACAGATCTCTACCAGGTAGAGAAGTGAGAAGTTAAATAAATGAATGGGAAACTTTAGCAAGCACTAGAAGTTAGTCTAGACTGAAATTAAGCCATGACTATAGGGTTAACACACCTACGTACACTTGAATCATTTTGGACCCAGATGACTGAACAGGGGGTATGATGAAAGAGCACCACTGATGGGTCTCTCCAACTCCACACACGACTTATAATGGTGAACTGGATTTTCAGGTTCTGTACCAGTCCTGAGTAGGTTCAAACTTGCTTAATATGAGATCGGTCTACAAGGTAGCAATACTGTTGCTTATCTAGAGAAATGAAAAATTAAATGAATGGGAAATATTAACATTAGACTAGAGTACAATTTAGTCAGGACTCCAGGATTTTATACTCCTACACTTTAATTGTTATGGACCTCATAAAGAGCACGGCCAACAGGTCTCTCCTACCTCAAACATCACTTGCAATAATAGCCTAGATTTTCAGTTTCTGTACCAGTCCTGAGTAGGTTCAGACTTGCTTAATATAACATCAATCTACAAGGCTGTTTTTTTTTCAGATATGCTGCCTGACTGATGAAGTGAAGAGTTTCTATTGAACAAAGCTCAGAAACCAGAGACAAGCTCTATTGTTATCTGGTGGAGGAGCTGGAGTACCTACATTTCCTGTTGGTCAGTTGCTCATATAGTGAAGAGCTGTTTCTATTGGTGGATAAGAGGAGGCATCTTTTAAATTCCTATTGGCCAGTCATAAGGAGCTGAACAGCCAATTATATTGTTTTCCACATAGCAGGTGGCAATGCTAGATGACTTCTTCGTACACAATGGTCAGTTTCTCATATAGTGAAGAGCTGTATTTATTGGTCGATAAGTTGAGGAGATATCCGGCACACTGAGCTCATTTGAGGACACAGCTGCCACAATGCAGGTAAGAGAATCTCTGCTCTGCTGGCACTCACCCTGTGTTCTATAGTCCAGCTTCTTTTGCACAAAGCCACTTGTCTAATGTAAGGCACTTTGTAAAATTACAGCTTTTTCCTCTTCTTTACCTGTCTCTGACATGATCACGTGTGCCACCGTCCTTCTCCAGCATGGTTGGACATGGGCTGCATTCTCTAGCTGTAACTCTGTCCAGCTGCTTCACTGGTAGAATGTGTGATTGTTCTTGATATTCAGGACTGTAACACCTTTGTCCAAGTAAGGTAAGCTTTTTATGTTTTTAGTTTCACATTACTTTGTTCTGAACTATGAAGTTCTGTTTTTATAACTTTTGTGATGCTGCTAGAGGCACAGTACTGAATTGGAGGCACATCAGAAAGAGTGTCATACATTTCACTGAGACTTTTGACCACAGATAGCAGAACAGAGGTAATGCAACATAGATCGCCGCAATGACGTCACTAGTGGAACAAGACACAGGTGTGCTCCTACCTGCTGGCCATATAAATCAAACCCAGAGATGGCAGAGAGTAGAAAGTACAGTGCTTACTGAAGTCAAGCTGCACACAAACTACATCTGACTGTATTCGGTGAGTATGTGATTTTCCATTTGAAAAAGGACAAGAAGAGAATGTTTTGGAAACAGAAAAGGTAAAGAAATAAGCAAGAGACTCGTAGATAGTAAAATATCAAATTAACGTCACCAGACCTGGAGCTCCTCATCTGATTCTTTAAAACCTAGGTACCTGCCATGGGAGTCTGGGCAGGTGTTTGTAGCTCTTGTGTATATTCCTTCTAAAGCAAAATATAAAACTGGCTCTGAAATTATTTATAGTTATATTTAATTCATAGTTATCACCTGATGCCCCAAAATTAGTTTGGGAGATTTTAATTGCTGTTTGCTTAAGACTAATTATTATCAATATTTAAAAGGCTACACAAAAGGTCCTAGAACTTTAGATCTCTGCTATGAAAACATTAAGAATGCCTATAAAGATCTTATAGGATGACCTGATCTGTTGACTTATTACCATTGTACTGACAGACTTTAAAAACAGTGAAAGCCAAGACAAGAGTTGTACATGTGTGGGATCATGAAAGTATCCAGGATTTGCAGGTTGGTTTGATTGTTCAGACTGTTAGGATATTAATGACCATATTAATGTGACCCCAAGGCTGTGTGTTGTCCCCATTGCTTTTCACACTGTACACTGATGATGGTATAAGCCACTATGACAACTGTTTGCTTATCAGCTATGTCTCCTTGATTGGACTTTTGAACGCTGACAAATGCATTTTCATACTAGAGATACTGTACAGTAAATCCTTTTTCTAATTGGTGTCAGAATCCCCTGTTTTTAAACACAAAACAAAGGAAATGATTATTAATTTTAGAAAGAAATGTTCCTCTCCTCTGAACTCTGTAACTGTGAATGGAACAGATAGTGAAAGATAAATGTATATAAATTCCTTGGCCCTCTTATTGATTGTAAAGTAATTTGGAGGGCCAATACAGAGGCAGGGTATTTAAAGGTGCAGCAAAGGATGTATTTTTTTAAGAGGAGCTTAAGGAGTTTTAATATTGAAAGCACAATGCTGACACTTTTCTGTAAGAGTTTTGTTCAGGGCATCATAACTTTTTGTATTCAGAGCTGGGGAGATGTCTTATCTTTGTAGAACAAAAACAACTTGAACAAAGTGATCAGGACTAGTGGTAAGATTATGGGTGAATCCTTGGACTCCATATCATCTTATGGAGCAACATATTAATATGTTTACACATAAAATCTTAGATGACCCCTCTCATCCATTCGTTTTAGAATATAATCCCCTAGACTCCAGAAGGAGGCACCAGATCCCCTGTATAAAGACTAAGAGAGCATTTACTTCATTTATACCTAAAGACATCCAATTGTTGAATAAGGAAGAGATTGTTTGAAAATAAAGATCCTATGTTGTTGTTTTACACTATTTACTAGTAATTGTCTGTTTTTAATCTTATGATACAGGATTGAGTTCTGATTCAACAATGTTGTTAACATGTTGTTTAGTACCATAGTATTGTACTTTTGCTGCACTGTATTATTGTCATAGATGTTAAATTATGAGCTCTTGATGTGCAAGACAATTGCCCTCTCCTTTTGGGGGTGTGGTGAATTTGCTTTACTGGCTTCCTGCCATGTTATGAAAAAGCATGTTCTGTTTTTCTGTCATATCTACTTTGTGTGTGGATATAATATTTTCCAGTTTACAAAGTACATTTCTTAACTCCTGAGGTATATTACACTGTATATCCTGGGTTATGCAGGGCTCAGACAGGACACTGCCACTCATCCTCTCGCAGTTTTATCTGGGTTCAGTATTGCCAACAGGTAGTTTTACACGCTCCTTGACTTCTGCACTATGCAAGTTAATTCCAACCTTACTTATGCAGCCAGACAAAAGCATGTTATGAATTTCAATTGTTTGAGTTGGGGGCCACTTTATCGGAACAGAAATCCATCACTAGCATGTGTACTGTTATTTTAGACTGCTTTAATTACATTTGTCTGGCAATTTGTTTTATCACAGTCATTTGAGCTCATAACATGCTTTTATCAAAAGCAATATAATTCATCATAGATAATGATTAATCAGTAGGCTTTATAGTGATTATAATTTCTTCTGTAACTTTCCCTCCCTGCTGCTGACACCCCATTCCTCAGAAAACCTGTCAATACTTGTTTTGATCTCTGAGAATTATATTAGTATCTGTAATTAAACGTGTGTGTCTGTATGTATTGAATACAATAGACTACAGGTGCTCTGGGTCAGTGAACAACCAGCCTGGTGAAGCCCAGTAATGATCTGAGTAATACAGACTGATGTCAGGCAGGTGGTTAACCTTTACTTGTGAGAAACAGACTGAGTTTTAGGCTTATAATTTTCAGTATCAATTTAAATTCATTAAATGGACACAAAATGGTTACATAGCAGTTATGTTCCAAGTAGACTTGTCACATGGTGAAACATGTTTTTAAATTTATTAATGGAAAATTGATAGTATTTTTCAATTCTCAGCAGTGCTGACGATCACAGGCCTTTCCCCTGAGTCCCTGAGCTGGGAGGATCATGAGGACACCTGGACAGTCAACACATTCTACAGCTTCACCTGGATAAGTGGTCACTCTTAACAGGAGCTTCTTTCATCATTAAGAGGGAGTTATGTTTTCTTTTCAGGGGATTGATTTTGTCAAACATTTATACAGAAAAGATTGAGTTGTTAGGAAAACAATACAGTGATCATTTTATTACTTTATACACTTTTTCTGTTTTCAGCATATAAACATCTTAATCACAAACAAGTGTCAAATGCTTCCATTCTTGAATCTGTTCACAAGATGTCTGAAGTGTAGAACAGTGTTCAGAGCAGTAGTGATGCACAGCACATTGTGGGGGATGTTACAGTACCCCATAGGCTCATGACTAACCATATAATGCTCCTGCAGAGGACAGTCTGACCTGTTCCTACAGTACTGTGAATTTCTCTCATGGTATGTTCAGCTTGAGGAAAGCACATTAAGAACCCCTTACTTGTTTTCCGTCTCCCAAATTCTTGATAACCATTTCTAAGCAAAGCACTTTGCAATTAACAATGGAGTCTCAAGTCCTTCCCTCATTTCCACATGGAGCTGGATCTACCTACAGCCTAGCTCAAGGCAAGAGCTGCTACACCAGATTATTATTGCCAGCACCAGTATTTACCAAGAGGGGGCTGCAGGATTAAGAGTATACTTAAGTTAATATGCAAGATCATTTTATGATCACAAAACATTAGTGGGTTCATAGAAGCGACAGACGGAGTTTCACAGCCGAGTTACAGGAAAGAAGCGTGTTTAGAAACTACTACAGCGGAAAACAAAAGCACCCTAAATTCAGGACGGAGAGGCAGCCTGTAAGAGCAAGGGAAACTCGAGTACGCTCTTCTACAACGAGCTAGTCTCCACGAATGTTACCCCGCTACAGGTACCCGGATCCAACCCTGAAATTCATACAGGAATTAATTCAAAGTACCATGAGTTTGAGAAAAAAAAAACACGAAACAGTCCAGGTGTAACCCGGCCGGCTACTGAAGATCGCAGAGGCGGTCCGCAGTCTGGAGCCCCGGGAGAGGAAGCGCTTCTCTTTCAGGACACAGCCGGAGAGACGGTGGGTAACCTGGGACCGCGAGGTGAGTCCGGCTGCTCCCCGGGATCAACTGCTGGAGAAAAAGCGTTTCGCGTTCCAATATCTTAGTCACGTTTCGGCCTCACTCCTTGACCTCGATAAATTGAGCACCACATTAAGTGGGGGGGGGGGTCTTAATCATGAAAGCAACACTCGATAAGCAAAGTGCAGACCGGTCGGATTCTCTCACCTTCGAATTCGCCGCTCATCTACCCAGTTTCACGCTACACCGGAGCTCTGCGCTTCGGCCATCAGGCGGTTGTGGAGGACAGGAAGGCTGGGGAGCTGGAGAGGAGAAACTGCATTAAATAAGAGCCCTGTCGAGACACGAGTAACGGACCTGACAAAGCATTACAAATGTAGGTAGCAGGATTAAATAGGAACAAAAGATTTTGCATTCCACCCTTTTCGATTTACGAGAGTTGATGGTTTAGCTTTAATTAAATGGTTCTTGGACAGCTAGAAGGCGTTTCGTAAAAATCCAGTTAGTGGACGCGACAAACTCGCTATTTTAATTACTCAAGCTCCGATTTAATTTTGAACTGATCCTGTGCGAACACAGAGAAACTTCATCCGAAATTCTGCTGCCCAGATTAAACGAAACATTGCAATGGGCGCAAAGCCGCTACTTAAAGGCAAAGACTCAATACAGCTGCCAGAACCGGTTTTAATGGAGACCAATTGAAGGCTGATACAAGATTAATCACACCTGACTTTTAATTAGTTGGAAATAACTAAAACACGGACTGGATCCTGGAGTTGGCCGTCTCCGCTCTGAACACACAGTCTTTCAAAGACGAGTCATTTGGAGTACAATCCCACTCCATACTTTTAGCTGAGCCGCTGATGAAGTAACCGTGAAACTTTAACTGGACATTGACGAATTGTTTTCAACTCAATTTACATATTTTTAATTCATCCAAAGGGATTCAGAACATGAATAGTAAAAGGTTAGAAATCAGCGTCAACCTTGCGCCAGAAACAGTGTTTCATAATTCCCGTCTTTTAGCTTTGAATCATGGAGTACGAATTTTACTGCTGCTGTCTGACAGTCAGTCTCACCTGTGATTACTGTACTGTACATCACTCATTGACAGTGGTACCCCCACCTTTCACTGCATAACCTGTGTGCACAGTGTATGACATTATGTAGAATTGTGATGACTTCATTCATGAAAATGAATTTGCAATATCTCTCTTAGAGATTTCAGTTTTGAGTTAATATGAAACACCCGGATACCTGCCGCACATTGCTTCCACTAGTTCACCACCTGCGCTCCTTGCACTTTACTAAAGTAACTTTCTTCTAGTATATCAGATAGGAGCATATAGCATCTCTAACAGTAATAAGGAGAGACATGATGCTCCACTGATTGCAAAACTACTTATGATATCCTATTCTGTTTTCAATCCATACACTCGTTCCCATTGTATTTATTGGCATCGCTTTTGATTTTTCCGTCTTTCCTCTGAGAGACTAAACGTATATAATACAGTATACGGAACCTTGTCAAAAGCCCGTAGAAATATAAATGGATCATGTTGTGACAACTATTAGTATAAAGGAACTAAAGGGCTACTCTACCCAAACACCAGCTGGGGTATAAAACATTTAGATTAATTGAATCGCTCGTTTGTTTTAGAAAACAGTTGTTTTTAGAATCATTTCAGACGTATTGTTAAAAGAATAAAAGAAACATCAACATCTTAACCTGTCAGGCTTCACGTCTGACACACGACATACAGGCTCCTCCAACTCTACTGCAACTTGTGATACTTTGTTTTTCACTATTATTAGAAAAGATAAGCAAGTCGTGACCAGTTGCACAAAAAGGCTAGAAAAATACATTACAAAAGCGTCTCATTAGCCTTAAGGCTTTAAACCGCCTCGTCTCGGAAGTGTGACTTGGCTTAAGACTGAATAAGAGAGTCACATGGCCGCTCTTTAGCGTGGCCGGCCTGGTGGCTCCGTGGGCTAACCCATCGGGCACTTTCTAAAGTCCAGACAATTGGATCGACTCCCAGAGACGCTGGGGAGTTAAAGACGAGCCCCGAGCCTCCCCGTCAGTCTGAGATCTAAGCCCCGGGTGTAGCTCTCGTGCTGTCGGGGTGAGTTTGTGTAGGTGGCTGTTCTCTACCACGCCGGCCGTTTTGGGGGGTTCCATTTTCGGGGCCCTCCAAAACAGGGAAAATGGGGGGTTTAAGTCCTTTATGAATGAATAGTAATGAACTGAATTCTAAAAAGCAGCCCCTTATACCACTGAGACACCTGCAGGACGGGTGTGGCACTAGCAGTGAAAGAGAGGTGCAGTCCTAACTAGGAGCGGCAGGGGTCCCTATCCAGCACATTCCTCTTGATTCGGTCAGCTGGCCGCAAGCTAAACGATCCCGATAAACCTCGTTGGGGAATGTCGCTGTACTAGGTCGTCCGGAAATTCTTAGCCGATATATACTTTATGTATGATTTGGTGAGTTGAAGTTTCTATGTATCTCCAGTAACGTCAGTGTTGAAGCCCTTGTAACAGAATCCGCAGCTGTCCGTCAGGACCGGAGCCCGCCTCCAGAGTGACCTTCCTCAGCGGACACGCCCCGTCCACCTGTTCCACAGGTGCGCTCGGCAAGATGGCGGCGGGACGAGCTGGGGCGGCTCGAGGTGCGTTTGCGTTTTATTTCGAATTTTCTGATTTTAAGTGCAAAAAAACAAATTTCACTTTGGGGAAATCAAGATGAAAGTATTTTGTTGTTGCTGCTCTTGTTAATTGTATTTGTTTTTCTCTTTTCTTTGTGTTTTAGGACGCCGAAATGAGTGTTCTGTCCGTTTGGGCGTGCTCTCGAAGTTTGAAAAGTTTGTATAAAGTATCTTATACTATCATGCATTGAACTTTCATTCAACTTGTTTTTAAAATATGGTATCTCTTGGAGGCTGTAGTTTTTCTTCAAATATTTGCTTTTTAAAGTCCTTAGCTGTGTAATGTCCTTTTGCGGATTGGGGCTATAAGAACGTTTTTCGTTATAACAAAAAAAAAATAACAAAAATTGTCAAGATTAAACTGACTAATTCGTTAGCTTTTCATTTCTCCAGGTGCCAAAAGGATTTCAAGAACGGGATACCAGTTATGAAAAAGTGTTTTTTAACGGTAAATTTTATTCCTACCTTCCGCTATTCTGTTAATATTTGTGTAACTTGTTAAGACGACACGATTTGCCTGCTTTCTCACACATTCTTGCCCGGAACAGGCATATATTAACTACATTGCTGCTTTTCGTTTCGTTGTGCTTTTGTTGAATGGAAAAGCAAACTCTTAAGACACTGGTTCTTCAATGGAATTGAATTCTTATGTGGCTGAACGTATGTTCTGGAGTTTTTTGGAGCGGCGGGACAGGGATCTATCTTTGTTTTCTCATTGCTTTTCATCGTGTTTGTA